CGTTGCCATTTGCAGCAGTGCAGTTGGTTAAGCCTCGGTTCTGGCGAATTACGAATCAGAGCCATAGAGGGATGGAGTGTCAGAAAGTGAGATCGCCGATGCAGACGATGTGTGCACAGTATTTGTACAGCGTGTTCGTAAGTGCTCAATGTCAAGATTGCTAAGGCTAGGAATTCCATTCTGGTCATCATGCTGATGCATTTGTACCTCACGGAATGATCTTGATTTATTAGTGTGTACTGGTATGCATAAGTTTTGTCTAAATGCATTGTTTATCGATGAGAAGGACTTTACGTAATGCAAATAAAGCAATTTCTCAAATGCTCTAAAGTCCAATTCACTTCCCAAAGAAAAGTTTTAGTATATTTAAAAACGAGTACAATTTCTGGAGTTGCAAATGTCTCCAGAAATTTTTACCTTCAAAAGACGGGAAAAAACTCACGTCTGCCTACTTATGCTTCCACCTCACTTCAATTTTCCAGTACCTATTTTAATTTTCCTGCGTAGTCATGTGCATTCAAGCTAATGTCTAAAGGTGATAATTTGTTGGAGAAGTATGGGTAAACGCAGAGATTGAAGAGGTGCCACCCTTCATTCTATCCAACATTCCAGTCCTCTACCTTCTCACTGGTAACGGAGACCCCTAAGTCATGGCCAGGATGCGAAAAAAAGCCCGATCAAATGCCTAATACCGCATTCAGTGGCGGCGACTTCTGAATCTATTTCATTCCTACCAGTGAGAATGGTTGTCTGCGCCACCGCCGCATTGCAAGTCATGGCCTCCTTCAAATTAATGAACTTGTTCCACTTGTAGCCAATGGAGAGGCCTCACATCTTTTGCTAATTGGGGGTGCGCCTCGATCCACCCACCATTGGTAACTCCCAAACAGCACCTTTGCCTGACCGCATGCCACGCACCGCCTTCTTTACTAGAGCTAGTGGCCAATGGGAGAGATACCAATTCGACTTTGTGAAATAGGCACATGAAGTCAAAGTGTGGGAGTTGGAGCCCTTCAACAGAGCTTCTCCCTCCATTCGTCTAAGCGTATGAACTGACTGGTTAAGAAAATCCATTCACCAGCACTAAAGAACGGGAAGATAAGAGGAGAATAGATAGCTGTGGTCAGCACAGTAACGGCAGCCGCAATTTTACCAAATGCAATCTATGATCAAGTAAAATCAGATTACATCATTTTGCTCCATCTTTCATAATTCCTTTAAATGCTGAAAAAACCTGGGCGTCATTAAGGTCCATCATGCTGCTAATACATTAAGGAGCCTTCACTGCTGCCCATAAGATCTCATAAATCACAGTGGAAACATCCTAACTGGTTTAAGCGCACAATAAAGACAGAACAATGAACTAAGCAGCGAAACAATTCTCATGGATGACTAAGTTTGCTATATTTGCTGACTTTGACCTAGAAATTACACACAGACAAACAGAAAACTTGTGGTCAGATGGCCGGAGAGCTCAAGTTCAACGTCTACTAATTGTTTGCCAAATGCACAAGCCCGAATCACAGCCTGCAGACTTAAGTGGAATCTGTAATAAGAGGCTTCGTGATGGGAGAGTGGCAAATGACGCACGATCAAGG